GAGGGACCGATTGAGAGGCCGGAACGACGTTGGTCGATACAAACACACACACACACACACACACACACACACACACGCACGCACGCACGCACACACACACGCACGCACGCACGCACACACACACGCACGCACGCACACGGCGCGATATCCTGCCGCCAGCACTGAGACAACGACGGATGCTGACAAACCAGCACATGGCCACCAGCCTTACCTGGGCCGTGCATGACGTAAAGCTGCACAAAGACGAGATAACCACGTGCAAACACTTCAAGGACGAGGAGGCCTGCAATGTCATCAAAGGAACTCAACTTCTGCATAAACACGCGCGGTGTCTCCATCTACATCACCCGCAACACAAATGCAGTGGCAACAGGGCTGCGGTGAGGACATACGCAATCAGACAACACAAAACCACCGAGCACCAGCTAGCGATCGCATCACAAAACAGCGCGCACATCACAACACAAACAAAGAACAAACCTCAGACGCACGCACGCACACACGCACACACGCACACACATCACACACACACAAACATCAACACACACACACACACACACAAACATCATCACACACAAAAAAAAAAAAACATCACAAACAACCATGCAGACACACACACACACACAACATGACAGCACCTCGTAGAGGAAGACGGCGTCTCGGCGGCGGAGACTGCGCACACATGCCTCGCCATCTGTGGCAATCTTGTCCAGCGCAACATCAAACTTGAGCACCTTCGCCGCGTAGCTGGCATACCGCTGGCAGAAGCGAAGCATGTGCTGCATCAGCCACGCCGCATGGTGCCCGGAGACAGCCGTATCGGTTGGCAGCGCACCCTCAGCGCCACCTCCGCCAGGCGCATGCGACTGTTCGGACGACTTAGACGACAGTGACGACAAGAGCGGCGACGTGGAGGCGGACAGGGGGCGGCGCAACAGCTGCAGCAACGACACCGGTTCAGTGCTGCTTGTACCGGCTGCGGACATGGTTGTCTTGGATGGCTCCCTCGCGTGCTTCGATTTGGATGTAGATGGCGACGATGACGCTGATGACGACGACCAGCTCACGCCATGCATGTGTGATGACGCAGGCTTGGGCGTGAGAATCCCAGGCAAGATGGGCGTTGCGCAGTAGTGCAGCGGCCGCAGCATGTACAGCATGTTCACGACGGAGGGGACGGCCTCCCTGGCATCACGCCGCCGCTGCTTGGTATCCTCCACCCACATGTCGTAGTCGTTCCTGCGCTGGGAGAGCTGGACGGCAAGGCGTTCTGTCTGCATCAGCAGCTCCACACACCGCTGCAGGCGCCCGTACATGAGATGCTCACCACCGGCCTGCTTGCGGCGCGCGTCGTACAGGCGCAGCATTCCACCAGTGATGCGCAGGTTCGGTTCTCGGAACAGGGTGAGCAGCCGCGAGCGCACGTACTCTGCAGGCTTGTCAAACAGGTTTTCCATCGTGCGACGCGGCTGCACCACGCGCGGCAGGCGAGCTGCCTTGCCGGCGCCGAGTGGCGAAGCCGTGGCCGTGCTGGCGAGCAAGTTCAGCGCTGAAGATGACAGGCGCGACGACGGCGATGATGGCGGCGATGGCGCTGGTGGAGAGCCCGTGCTGCCGCGTGCACCTGTGCGCCGGTGTTGTGGTGGCGTGTTTCCAGCCATGTGGCGGTTCACCCCCGCAGCGGGCGTGCGCAGCTTGGCCAGCATGTCCTGGGTGCCGCCGCCATCGGCCGCCGTCACCTCCACCTCTCCGCTGGCCGTGTGCTGCACGCCGTACTGGCGAATGCCCAGGTCTTGCAGTGACAGCGGCTTCTGCTTGGCAGCGCCGTCGCTCGCCGTCGGCATGCGGTGGAAGGGAATCACGGGGCTGACCACCTCCGCTGTCTTCATGTCGTGCAGCCAAGGGTGCTCGGTCGTCGGCGTGTAGCCCTTGCTGTGTGGCAGCAGGTGGCCCAGGCCCGTCTTCCCCAGCAATGCGCCCTGCAGCGTGGTTGCCCGAAGCCGCTGCCACTCAAGGATGTACTGCAGCTTCTCGCCAAACTTGCGCGTGGGCTCTTCCCGCTGGTTGTACGTCGCCCACCACAGCATCCCGCGCGCCACAACCACAATGAGCGCGCTGTGGCGGTCGCTCAGCCCAATGCTGTTTGGGTCATCATCGGGCAAGAAGTACTGTGTGGCCGGAAACTGCTCCCCGCGCACGCGCTTGCTGCCGGGCGCGTGACGCACCATGCCCTTGCGCGTCGACAAGAGGTCGTCATCAAACCCGCGCGATGACGCAATCAGCACATGGATTGCCTCAGGGTCCTCTCCGTCCTCCTTTTCCTCGGCAGCACGGTCCCCGGTTCGGTCCTCCTCGCGGACGCCGTTGGCGATGCTGGCCAGTCGCCTGCTCCCGCGCAGCAGCCGTCGCATCGCCCTGTCAGCTGCCTGTGTCTTGCTCGTCACACCACGCTGCTGCTGTTGCTGCTGCTGCTGCTGCTGTTGTTGTCGCCCGAGGTCCTTCGCCCCGCCCTCGCGCACCACATCGCCGGCACCGCTGCCACCAGCGTCGCCACCGCCACGGCCAGGTGCACGGCGAGTGCGGCTGCTCGGCGGTGACGGCGGCCGGTTCGACGGCTCGCGGCTGGTGTTGAGGGCACGCAGGCGCTGCAGGAAGCGAGACGCATACATGGCACGGCCAAACGGTGCGCCACCACCACCACCACCACCACGATTCTGCTGCCAGCCAAACTGTCTTTGGCCACGGCTGCCGTTGATAATTCCGCGCGTGTGGGGACCAATTCTTGAATGATTTGTACCAGGGCCAGCAGCGTGGACGAGCCTGCTGCTGTCTTTCTCGTAGTCGTCATCATCAGAACCATCGTCATCGTCTTTCTCGGCCTCGCTGGCATTGTCATCGCTGCCATCACCGCCACCAGCGCTGCTGTCGTCGTCATCAAGGAAGATGCCAATCGTCCCCAATTCACGCGGAGAGAACCGCGCCTTTGCGAGCGCCCGCTTCATGTCTGTGTGTCGCTGTTTCCTCTGTCGCTCCTGCCGCTGACTGCGCTGGCTGAGGGCACTGCTCAGCGCTGCCTGCGACACCCCGCCGCCCGTGCGCTTGCTCCGCGGGCTCGCGGCGCCGCTGCTGGAGGGCGATGGCGATGTGGACCGCCCTGCCGACGGCGGGGACAGCACGTGCGACGGCGATCGCGGCGTGAGCGGTGATGCAAGCTGCGACGAGCTGGCAGACCCAGAGTGCGTCAGGTATTGCGACGATGGCATGGTGTGGTGCGGGTACTGGCGGATGCGGCGGGCAACCAAGGGCCCTGCTTTGGCGAGCGTGCGCAGCAGCACGGGGAACTGCTGCAGCATTTCAAGCGACCGCGGATTTGTGGAGGGCGAGTTCTCAAGCGTCTTGTGCAGCCGCAGTGAAAGCTTGATGAACTTGTTCTTCTCACGGTCCTCCGCTGACGACGCCAGTGCCGCCGCCCCTGCTGCACCTGCTTCCCTCTCAGTGTTACCGCCAGTCGCAAAACCGTGCACACCTCCGCCATCACCACCACGGCCTCCTCGACCCTTGGTGTCACCGCTGTCGCCGCCCACGGACCGCGCCTTGAAGCACGCAACGTCCATTTCCGGGATGAGACCAACCAGCGCGTCCAGCATCGAGCGGACTTCGACAAAAGCAGGCATGTGCTCGCATGCAACGTGGGACGCCGTGGAGTGCGGTGCGAGCACTTGCTCGATCATCAGCGTTCCGAGTGCAGGCACGAGCGTGTGGTAATTCAGCACAGCATCGTGCTGCGGTACCCCGGCATGTGATGCTGGACGACGCGTGCGCCGGTGTGTGCGCGCGGCCAACAGCGCCAGCAGTTTTGCTGAACGGAACAGGGGCACTTCCCCTTGAAGCGACTTGCCCAGAGGATATGGGAAGCGCAGCTGCCCCACTTGCTGTTGGTGCTGCTGCTGCTGCTTCTGCTGCTGCTGTTGCTGTTGTTCATCGTCGATCTTCGCATTAAATGACGGCGCTTGATCGCTACCGCTTGTCGGAATTTGGCGGTTGTACTCCTGCTGCTGCTGTTGCTGCTGCTGCTGCTGCTGCTCTTCTCCACTTTGCTGCCGTACCACCTGTGTCGTGGCGGTGGCTTGCGTGCCAGAAGCTGCCCGGTGCACACCAACTTCGCTGCTGCGCCCGCCAGTGCTCAAAGACTGCCTGCTGTCGTCGTCGTCGTCGGCAACAGACGCAGTGCTGCTATGCTGGCGGTGTTGGTGTCTGGTTGCCGCTGCGGCTGCTGCTGCTGCTGGTCGAGACAGTGGTTGTGACACGTGGACACTCGTGTCCGCAGTGCTTGCACTCATCCTGTCACCAACGCTGCTGCTGCTCACAGCAGCGCCGCCACTACGAGCCGTGAGCACGTCCGTGTCACGATCAGCATGCGCCTGTGTCAGTTCATCCAAGTACTCCAGCCCTCGCATACGTTCAAGCGCGCTCTCCGTTTCCCACTCGTCGACTTCACCATCATCATCATCAGCAGCAGCAGCAGCAACAGGTGGTGGGATGAGAGCGTGGCCTGGCTGCATGGTGAGGCGCCTCTTCTCTCGCTGGCTGTCGTGGTGGTGGTGATCTGAAGGGAGGGCAGGGTGTGAGTGCTCCTGCAGTCCTATCTGTTGTCCGAGGTGCGCCAAGCGGTGGGCGTGTACGTTTGCATAATGCCGCTGGAGCTGCTGGTGACTGTGCATGATCATGCTCGCATCAAGAGAACGTGCGAGCTGGGAGCGACCGGGCACCACGATGGGATGTTGCGCAATGAGCTGCTCCATGATGAAGTCGCACGCTGCCTGCAGCAACACAGACTTGATGATGTTGACAAACGTGCGTGTGTTGCGCACGCTGCGAATGCCAATACGGAGAAGCATGTGTGGGCCGCTGATCGTCTCTGTCTTGGACAGGGCACGGCATCGAACAATTGAGTGCATGAGCTCCTCTGCAACGCACACCTGTCCACTCAACTGCTGTTGCTGCTGCTGCTGCTGCTGCTGCTGCTGTTGTTGTTGTTGTTGTTGTTGTTGTTCTTGTTGTTGTTGTTCTTGTGGATGTAGTTGGTGGCGGTGCAAGTCACGGCCATGCAGAGGATCAAGGCTGCGGTTGCTGCTGTGCTGGAATGCTGATGACGGTGCGTGCGTCGTGCCTTCGAGCTGTGGCCTAGCTGACTCGTTCTCTGCCTCCACTGTATCATCACTGGAGCCGGACATGCTACTCACAGTTCGAGCCGTGTCCGCCTCCCCAGCTTGGGCATCGTCACCTTCACTTTCACCACCACTGCCTTCATCATGATTGTTGGCACCGGAACGCTCCTCCAGTCCATCCTCTTCCTCAATTGTGGATTGACTGCGCGTGTCTTCGTCATCCTCGTTGTGGCGTGAAAGGGCCTGGCGTAGCAGAGCACTCAGTCCACTGCCATGGCCACTGCCATCGCCATCACCGAATACGCTGTTGTGTGACGACGACAGCGACCGGTCGAGGAATGTATGGTCCGGCACCTCCTCGTCCTCCGTTGCCGCTGCTGGTGAGGGATGTTGCGTGGCCATCTTCACCTGCACCGTTTGCGGGAGGAGCTCGGCTGGCTGCCCGTACCGCTTCGAGAAATGCTGTGCAATGGTCTGTGCAACACCATTCGCGGGCACACGGCCACTGCTGAAACTCGACAGCGTGCTCAGCCCCGTGTTTGGCGTTTGCATCCCTTGCACTGCTGTACCTCTGGCTGCGGTAGTGGCTGGCTCCAGGTGAGTTGGAGATGTGAGCTGCGGCTGTTGCTGCTGCTCCGTTGGTTGTCGTGATGGGGCCAATGGGAGATGATCGCTTTGGTGTGGCTGTGGACGATGCAGCGTGTAAGCGTGCTCCAGGTGGGGTTGGGGCAGGTACGGCGACCCCCGCTGGGGTGTTGTTGTGTGGAGAGCGTGGATGTGTGGATGCACTCTTGGTTGAACAATCGTGGGCCCGGTAACACCGCTCTGCACAGATGAGCGACCGCTGCGCGTTGGACTCAGAACCATCGGCGACAACACACCCGACGTCGCTGTTTCTGCAGCCCTTGTTGGCGGCGAAAGCACAGCGCCACGCTCGTCCTGTTGTAGTCGTTGCTGTTCTTGATCTTGTTGCTCTTCTCGCCCGTGTTCTTCTTGCCCGTTACGTTGTTGTGCTTCCTGTCGTTTTGCTTCTTGTTTTTCCTGCCCTTCTTCCTGTCCTTCTTGCTCTTGTTGCCCTGCTTGTTGTTGTTGTTGTTGTTGTTGTTGTTGTTGTTGTTGTTGTTGTTGTTGTTGTTGTTGTTGCTCTGGCCGCACCTGTGAACGTGACGGCGTCCGGGACGGAAGGTATCCCCCACGCGAATGCGGCCGCGAATGTGTGCGGGATTGAGCACGCGAGTGCAATGGGAGATGCGTTGGCGGTGTCGGTGGCACAACGCCCGTGTGCGGCATTTTCTCCATGTTCTCCAGCCTCTTTCGCTGCCAGCTGGCCGCTCGCGTCATCCTCGGCAGCACCTGCATCAGCGCGTGGCACGCCCCCGACAGCGACGCTCCAACCGGACCCTGCATCCACCCGAGCGGGTAGCGGTGCTGATGCGGTGCAAAGGGCGCCTCGTCGTCCACAAACTGCACAGTCACACAGGCCAGGCCGTCGCCAATCTTTGTGCTCTCCACAGAGGGCCGGTGCATGTCGCGTCCCGAACGCGCCAGGCTCCGCGCCACCGTTTGCTGTGAGCTGTAGATAAACTGCATGTCCTTCAGGTCCATCTCCAGTGCCGTCCCGTCCTGCGTTGGCTTGCCTTCGAGCTCGGCCTTGCCAGAGTACACGCGCATGAAGCGCAGCAGCGACTGCCGCAGCAGGCCAAACAGCTGCACGTGGTTGCGCATGCTCTCCCGGAGCGGCAGCGCCAGGATGGCCTGGTCTTCATACCCGTGCAGGAAATTGACAAACTCAATCCTGTGCGAGCGGCCAATGGCGTTGGCTGCGCTCTGAAACGCGTGCGAGATGAGGTTTGCCGCGGCCTGCTCCACAATGCGACAAAACGCAAGGTGGAACTTGCGCGTCAGCTTCTGCATGCTGTAAATGTCAAAGCTGAAGAAGGCGTCCTTGGTTGGGAACTCACTCGACCTGCCCCCGCCCTCCCGCTCCGCGCGCTGCGCATACCGCCTAAAAAACACGGGCATGTTGTGGAAGGAGTCGCCCAGCACAGCGCGCGCCTGGCTCAGCGTCAGCCCGTGCATGTGAATGAGCGTGGTCTTGTTCAAGACAACCCAGTCGCTCTTCAGCGGCAAGAAGCGGTTGTTCTGAATGGCGTCGCCAATCTGCTGACCGGTCACTCTGGGAAACAGCGGATACACGCAGCGAAAGAGCAGCGGCAGCGCAAATTGGCTCGGGCGTGCACGGTCTTTCTTCACCAACGACTGCATGAGGTGTGAAAACGACCGCGCTGGTGCTGCTCCTCCCGCAACAGTACCAGTGGTGGTGGTGGTGGCCGTGGCCGCGGCCGTGGCTGTGGCAGTTCGCTGTGGTGGTCGTGGTGGTGCCTGAGTTGGCTGCGATTGCGGAGCGGTGACGTTTGAGGAGAGCGGGTGCATTGCCTGTGGGGCGCGGGCGTGTGTGCTCGGGCTGTGGGTAGGCGGCTGAGTGCCTGTTGCTCCCATTGCCGCCTGCAATTGGCTGTAGTCTTCAGCACCAGCGGGAATGAGCGGATCAAACTTGATGCCATGCTGCATCACCATTCGCATCATCAGAATCTGGTTTGCCCGGCGCCAGGCGTGCACGAGCTGCGTGTCAAGCGCTTCAAGTGCCTCCCTCATCTCTGCCGTCACGGTGCCAAGACGCGTGTTGAAGAAGATGTTCACTGTGCTGTAATCCACGGTGAGGATGAGGTGGAATTGCATCTGCCGAATGTCGTGCTTGCTGACTGTCTTCTCCTCTCCCTCGGCTTCAAACTGAATCATGTCCGGATGCTCTTTCATCAGGTACTCGCTGCACGGGCGCGTGAAGAACGTCGCTGGGGTCTTGTGCATGCCCTCTTGCAGCTGATCCTCGCTAGCAGTGCTGCTGCTGTTGCTGGGCTGGCCATCGCTCTCGCTCCGCGCTGACGCTGATGCCGCGCCACTCCCTTCTGCTGCTGCTGTTGTTGTTGCTGCTGTTGGTCTCGGTGTTCGTGTTGGTGTCGGTGTTCGTGTTGCCGACGCAATGGAGGAGGAGGAGGAGGAAGGGGAGGGCGTTGGGGTAGGGATGCTCGTGGTACTGCTTGCCGAACGCGCGCGACTGCTGGCAACCTGGTGGTCACCATCTTCTGCTGCTGTGCCGGCACCTTCAGCCGGGTGCTCAAAGACAACGGATGAGGCTGACGAGACGGCATCGTCTCTGCTGCCTCGTGGCGATGCTGATGATGATGCTGGTGGTGATAGCCACGTGTTGGGCACAATCATGAAACAAGCCTCTCCCATGGAGACTGCGCTGTGGCCCTTGAGGTCAAGATGCCCCAGCAGTTTCACAAACATAAACGCCACTTCCCTGCGGTAGAACTTGTTGTCCTCGATAAACTGTCTCGCAGCTTCCGTCTCGGGCACGGGGCGTGGGGCGGCCAGCCGGTGCGCCTGCGAGAAGTTGATGCTGTCTGTCAACGCCGGCGGCTGCTGCACGTGCCCAGCAATGTTGTTGATGATGACTTGGTCAAACTGGGGCGAGCACCGCAGCAACGCCACCAACTCATCTGTCACCTGCCACGCAATGCTGTTGCACAGGGTGTCAAACACTTCCATCTGTGGAGGGCCATCGCCGTCAAGTCTAAAGTCTTTCGCTGCGTCTGCATCAAAGGGTGATGGCAGGGATTTCATGCGAAACTCGCTACCTGGCCGGTATGACGTGTAGCTGTCGCACGCCAGCAGACCATGGGCCCAGGCCTGAAATGCTGCCTGGTCATCCTCCTGTGCATCTTGCTGCTCCTGCTCGTCACTTGCAACATCCGGGCTGCTGTCAGCACCATGAAGCGTCACAACACTGCCGCCACGACCCAGTTGTCCAGCTTGCAGCTGTTGTTGCTGTCGCCGTTGTTGCTGCTGCCTCTGCCCTGGGTCAGGGTGAGGGGGGACATGCGGGGGTGGTGCTGTGAGTTCGGACAAGTTGGGCAACGCAATCGTGTGGAAAGCGGTGACTTCCAGCCAAACCCGGAGCTGCTCGTTGTCCACGGCGTGACGCAGAACCGCGGGAGTCAGGCAGCCCTGGCTGTCGCGAACAAGGGCATCAATGGACCCGGGGAACGACCGCGTTGCAAACCGCACCACGCGCGACCCAACATGCACCACCGTGTTGAGGTGGATGAACACGGGCTCCTTCGCCTTGGCCCGCACTGACGTACAGCGTGCAAACGCTTTGGACGCCTGCTGCATCGCCTCAATGTGGGGCGGAACCGGCGGGGAGGCACGCACAGCTGACGCCATCTCAAGGACGTCCGAAACGCTTTGGTCGTCATGGAACGCGGCGGTGTCCCAGAGCCAAGGGGAGCCAAGCTGGGCATTGTCCACAAACGGTTCCAAGCCCTCCAATGCGCGTGCCCTTTCCTCCATGTCACCCGTCTCAGTGCCACCGCCAGCTGCTGCTGCCGCAGCAACCGCGTCTGCAGCCTCAAAGGCCGTGATCGTGTCACTCGTGGCTGCGGCGGAGGTGCCACTGCTGGTTGTGTCACTGGTGGTGTTAGCAGGAGCCGAAGGTACATTGATGGCATGCTCGTGATGAGCAGCACCATTGCCAGCACCGGCACAGGCGGCATTCACATCGCGGCGGTGAAGCTCATGCACGCGCGCGTTTGCATACTGTTGGTCCTGTGCCACCAGAGCTGGTGAGCTGTACATGTGTGCTGCCTTTCTCGCTGCGTTGGCCTGCTTCTGTGTGAGGTTTTCGTCATTCACCAAGCCAGGTCCCTGTGCCTCCTCTTCCCGCTGTCGTTGCTTGTCTGTCTTCCACGCGTCGCGCGCAACGTAAAACGCAGGGAACGCAGTCGTGCTCTTCACACGGCGCTGGACAATTGCTCCAAAGCGCCGGTTCATAAGGGCAGGCAGCAGATGGATTGGAATACTAGCAATGCGACGAGAGCGCACGTACACGCGTATGTACATGTGTGTGAATGTGCGTATGATTGTGTGGACATGCGTGTGCATGTGTGTGAATGTGTGCATGTGTGAGCGAGTCGGATCATACATGCGAGTGCGTATGTGTATGCGTATGCGTGTGCGTATGCGTGGTTGCGTGTGCGTATGCGTGGTTGCGTGTGTGTGTATGATTGTGTGTGCATGCGTGTGCATGTGGACATGCGTGTGTATGTGTGAGCGAGTCGGATCATATATGCGAGTGCGTATACGTGGTTGTGTGTGTGTGTGTGTAGGTGTATGTATGTGTACAACTGTGTACACGTGTAGTTGCGAGTTGGAAATGATTGGCAAAGGTGTTTTGTGGTGGTGTCCATCCAGTACAGCCAGCAGCCAAACGCATGTTTCAACCACGTGTTTACATCCCAACGCAGGCCCCACAACGACTCCCACACATAATTGCATGCGTGCACACTCACACTCCGTCGATGTATTCCGCATCTGTGTCCTCCATGCTCTCAACGAGGTTGGTGACAGAAATCGAGCAGTTCAACCGCCGCAGTGCGGACAGCGTGCGTCGGAACGTGATGTGGCACAGCGCAATCTCACGCTGAAGCGCCACCATCACAGCCTGCGAAAAGGCGCGGCAGAACAGATCTTGCAGGTACGCGTGCGGGGTGGCTGAGAGCGCAGAAATGGGCGCGTCAATGCCCAGATCCCCGCACAGCCGCAGGTCGCGTGGAAACATGTGCGCAGCAGCAAACTTGGGGCGCACACCGGCAAACAGGTGATCCCGGCTGATGGAGAACATATGGATGGTGAACTTGCCAAACGGCTTGCTCTTGTTGGCGTACAGCTCCTCAAAGCGGCACGCCTGGTTGTGTGCACGGAAGACAAGCAGAATCATGTCGGCATCCTGCACGAAGCAGAAACAGCGGTAAGGAGGTCGATGCGTCACCACCTCCTCCCTGTCTTCATCGGTGGCACGCTCCCTGTCGCTATCGCCACCACAACCACCGCCATCTCGATCCCTGGCATGCTTGATGTGTGCACCATCGAACGACGACGATGACGACAACGACGCAGCCTTTGCTGCTGCTGTTGCTGCTCTCGCTGCTGCTGCTGCTGTTGTTGTCCCCATTGCCGCCAGCGATCCAGCAGATGGCTTCCTTGATGCGCGCAGAGACGGCGCTTGCGTTGTCTTTCCTGACGCCACTGGCGACTCGTCCGCAGCAGGAGACCGTGTTGTCGCTTCTGTTGTGGTGGTGGTGGTCGTCGTCGTCGTCGTTGTGGTCGTTGTGGTCGTCGTTGTCGTGGCCGCTGCTGAGGCCACGCCGGCTTCGCCTTCAATTGTGGCTGTGGTGTTGCGGCCCCCGTTGGCGCGTGCTCGTGCAGCGTGTGCTGCCTCCTGTGGCATGCCATCGCCATCATCACCATCGCCATCGCGTGTCCGCACTGCTTTCAACTTGTCCAGCAGCTGCGGCAAGTTATCGCACAGATTGTACTCTTCATCGTAGTCCTCAATCACCTCCATGCCAGAATCATCGCCAGAGTCACCACCATCGTCCCCGCCGCTGCTGGTGTTATTGCCGCCGCTGTCACCGCTCAGCAAACCATGCTCTTCCGTGCCCACAGTGGCACTGCTGAATGCTTCCTTGTCCGCTGCCGCGGCTGCTGTTGCTGGTGCTGCTTCGGTTGGTCCCGTTCCCGCGCTGTCGGCAGCAGGTGTGGGCGCTGGACTGTCGGGCATGCCGCCTTGCGTCGCTGCCTCCGCATTGCCACCGGTGCTGCCTGTCGCAGCTTGGTGGTTGCCGGCTTCCGCACTCTCTGCGCTGCCGGCGTGCGTCTGCATTCTCTTTGCGAGCACCTCCAACCGCATGGCCACCTCCGACTCCAGCATCGTCTTGATGTACTGCCTCTTCTTCGCCTCCACCACAGACGCAGGCAAATCAGCGCCGTGGGCGAGCCACGCCAGTATCTCTGCATCCTCGTTTGGCGTGACAAAGTCATTGAGACCAAGGTTGAGCGTGCCCTCCCCTGGACGCTCAGAGTGGAGCATAGTGTACAGGTAGTCCTGTTCGCACGCCCTCAGCCGCACCTCCATGCTTGCAACATCAGACACGGTGCGCCCCATGCACGCCGACAGCACATTGCTGAGGAAGCACTCCCGAGCTGATTTCCACCCGTTGGCCGTCGGCGGCGTTGGTGTTGTGGTGGCGGTGGGCGCGTCCCCACATGTAGCTGGTTCTTCGCGGTTTGCTCGTGTACCTGTGCCTTTGTCCGAGTTTGCTGCGAAGTTTGCGTGTGCGTCCGCTTGTGCTGTGCTGGTGCTCTTCGTGCTGGTGGCTGAAATTGTTGGCGGCTCGGCGGCAGTGGTGTGGCGACCGCCGCCATCACCACCATCTTCGCTTGTTGGCTCAAAGTCCTGCGGAAGGAAAGCATCAAAGGTGAAGTCTGTTCTTCGCGCGCACCGTATCAGCTGCATGGCGGAAAACGGGACATATGTGGACTGCACAACACCGCCGGCCTCCCGGTCAAAGTAATACGACGTTGGTGCGACGCGTGGCGGCTCCACAATTTGAATCACGTCAAGCAGCGGGCCAATGTGTGCTGTGGTACCGCCACCGCCATCCCCGCTACTCGTTGGCTCTCCTTGCTGTGCTTGCTCTTGTTGCGATTTTTGTTCTTGTCGTTGTCGTTGTCGTTGCTGTTGCTGCTGTTGCTGCTGCGCTTGTGCGTGTGCTGGCTGACGAGCTTGCGGCTGTTCTTGTCGCCCTGGTCGCGCATCTTGCGATTTCCTTGCTTGCGATGATGTTGCTTCGTCGCAATACGACGCATCAGCCTCGTCCCCCTGCTTGGCCGACATGGCGTTCTTGCGGTTCCGCGCCTGTCGCTCATCCTCGCGTTGCACTGCCCGCAGCATGCAGCGATCAACAAAGTCAAATGACGCCACTGCGCACAGGGCTGTTTGGTCCTTCGTGCAGATACGGTTGAGGACGCCTTTGAAGCCTGCCTGGTGCAGGTAGGTGGGGTTGTTGCGGCACTGGCGAACAACACCATACTGGGGCTCCACCCACACCTCCACCGCAAATAGGCGCGGGGTCTTGGTTGTGGGCGGGAACACGACATACTGCACAATACACGAAGCGCTCGGGTTCTTGTGGCGATGGACCCGACTGCTGAGCTGGTCTGCCATCGTCAGCAACCCGTTGTCCCGCATGTGCTTTCTTGATGCGCGTGTCGTGGTCGCTGGCTCGTGTGTCGCCTTTGAGTACGTTTGCTGCTGCTGCTGTTGCTGCTGCTGCTGCTGTGTGGCGGTGGTGTTGTGACTTGTTGTGTCTGGACTGTTGTCGTGCGGCTGGGAGTGCGTCGTGTCCATGTCCAACTGCAGGGCGAGCGCAATGACGCCATCGCTGGTGCGCGTGTACACGAAGCCCTCGTTCCTTCGCTGACGTACAAGCATGCGTGCAAGCGCCACAGGGTCCTCCGAGCTGGCGCCCTCAAAGTTGAACCGGGCCACGGTGCGGCGCTTGTGGAGATAAGAGACGAGCCGCTGGGACGCGGCACGCGTGGCCTTCTTGCTGCCAAAGGAAAGAAGAGTGGCCGGGCGCTGGCGGTAGCGAACAAGCAGCTTGGTCAGCTTGGTGTTGACCGGGCGGATCGGGCCGTGGAACAGCGAGCGCTGGCGTGTGCGTGTGTGTGTGTGTGCGTGTGTGTGTGTGTGTGTGTGCGTGTGTGTGTGTGTGTGTGTGTGTGTGTGTGTGTGTGTGTGTGTGCGTGGAGAGCAAGAGCAAGAGAATGGACGTGAGTCACGAGAAGACAAGACGGCATCTGGTGTCAGTCAAACTCAGCTGATCAACTTGCAACAGGAAGCACACAGTGCTGCGCGATTGCGCTGCTCACCGCACCTCGGTCTGCTTCCGTTTTGCTTCTTCTTCAGTGGCCGCGTGTGTGTCAGCATGGGGTTCACTACTGGCTTCGCGCGAAGTGGTGTTGCTCCCTGTTGTGCCGCTCTTTGCCTTCTTCTCCGTTTCAACTGGCGATGTAACGCAGAAGATTCGTGACACGTGAGCAACAGTTGAGTTTGGTTGGATGGATGGGTGGTTGGTTGGTTGGTTGGCTAGTTGTGTGTGTTGTGTGCGTGTGTGCGTGTTGTGTGTTGTGTGTTGTGTGTGTGTGTGTGTGCTGTGTGTTGTGTGTTGTGTGTCGTGTTGTGTGTGTGTGTGCTGTGTGTGCTGTGTGTTGTGTGCTGTGTGTTGTGTGTTGTGTGTCGTGTTGTGTGTGTGTGTTGTGTGTTGTGTGTTGTGTGTGTGTGTTGTGTGTTGTGTGTTGTGTGTGATGTGTTGTGTGGGTGTGGGTGGCTGGTAGTACCTGTCTTTGAGACGTAAATGGCCTGCCGGAGAGAATCCCGTACTCCCTGGCGCACATCCACGTCGCCGCCTACCAGCAGGAGTAAATGCGTGTTGAGGACGTGCGTGGCACCGACAACAAGGCAAAAATTCGATGTGGAACACATGTGCAACATGCATCAACCGCGTTGATCGGTAGAGCAGCTGCTATTGCATGGAAACATCACGGGCGAGAGCATCCTCACACACACACACTCACACTCACACTCATACACTCACACACACTCATACACTCACACTCACTCACTCACACACACTCACACACACTCACACACACACGCACTCACACACTCTCTCACTCGTGCACTCACCAAAGTAGCAGAGCTGCAGCTGTGCCAGAGCATCACGCAGGGCCAACTGCACGAGCACAAACCCGGGCTCATAGCCGCAGCCAAGGTCGCTGAAGAAGGCAACGTAGCAGTCAGGGGAGAGCGGCAGGCTGCACCACTGGCGGAGTCTGCTGCGGAGGAGGCGACGCGCCATGGCCCAGGACACGTTGGCCATCAGCAGACCGGCGCTCCCGCTGAACTGCGCCGCCGTGTCGGCAGTTCTAGTGTTGTCATGGTCGCGGCGATGGTTGTCGTCGTGGTTGTGGTGAGGGGGATGGATGGAGTCGTTGGTCATGGGTAGTTGTGAGTGGTCGTGGGTGGTGAGTGAGATGACAACACGTAAGAGAAAACAAAACTACAGAGGATCATCGGAATTGGGACACGCGTGTCGTTATTGCACGGGGTACCTGGCTGTTAGGATATCTGGGCGAATGTCGTGAAGCAGCAGCGCCACCATGTAGTCCGTGGACGTGAACATGCGTGCAATCGGTGCAGACAGACACGCAACCGCGTGCCAGTACGCCTCTGCAGACGAGAGACAAAGGCAAGCAACAAGAAGAGTACACACACGCGCGCGCACACACGCACACACACACACACGAGCACAAAGCAGTGCATCAGGCATTGTGTGAAGACATGACCGTGTGGTTGTATGATAAAGCGAGGGCCCACACAAAGCATGCGCACTCGCCATCAGTCACAGGCAGAGGGCCACTGGGTCATAACAGGAGCAGTGCGCGTACGGTATTGGCGTGGATGCATTGTCTTGAGTGCGCGGAGTCGAGGCAGAGCGCCATCAAGCGCAACCAGCCGGTTATTGCGCACGCAGAACAACGTCTCGTGCTGCTCCTTCAACGTCTGGAGTGATGTGCAATTGTGCACGGGCATGCATGTGTGTTGTGTTGGGAGGGGATTGCGGTTTGCATGAATGAGAAACAAACGCGAGTGACCAAGAGTCTTCGGTACTTGAGCCCACTGAGCCACAGAGGCACGGCTCAACGACGCCTCGAGGTCAAAACACACACAACACACAACCACACACACACGCACGCACAACACACACACACACACACACAACACACACACATACAGCGGCAGCAGCAGCACGAGTTGAACCCCACCTCTGCGACGTGCCGATCCAGAAGTTCTTTCTGTGAGCGAAACTGCAGCAAGAGTTGCAACGTGTTATCACACTGCCTCAGCTTTCGAATGACCCACGCCAGCGTTCCTGTGCTTCTTGCCACGGGCCCAGCAACGCTCGCCCCTTTGCCACTGGAAGCAGCAGTGGAAATGGGGAACAAACGCGCTTGCTCAGCGTATGTTCTCGGCCCAACCAGGAAGTACCTGCCCATTGGATGTGTGTGTGTGTGTGTGTGTGTGTGTGTGTGTGTGTGTGTGTGTGTGTGTGTGTGTGTGTGTGTGTGTGTGTGTGGGTGGGTGTGTGTGTGTGTGTGGGTGTGTGTGTACGCGCAAATGAGAGGGTGGGAGGAAGAGAGACGGCACCGTTTTACCATGCACAACACCTCGACCACGAAATACAGTGCGTTGTGCGGTCTTTCTTTGCGCAGTCTCCCATCGCGCGTACCTCAGCTCTATAGTACATGGCTTGTGTTGGGAGAAGTTGGCCATGATGGCGTTCTCGTCCAGTTTGTACGAGGCAACACCCGCTCGGTCAGCAATCAGCACCTGGCACTCTGTAAAGCGCATGCACGTGTAGATATGCGCATGAAAGCGTGAGTGTGTGTATGCGTGCAAGTGTGAGTCAGCAACTATGTGTATGTGCCAGCACTTTGCGTGTGTGTGTGTGTGCACGAAATAAAGGCAGACCGCATGCGAGGGTGTGAGGCCACGAACCGAGAGCGACGTGTTCGGTGAGGCGAAAAACGAGTTGCACCATTGGCTGCAACAAAACCGCTTCCGTCTTCTTCTCGCCCTCAAATGGCAGTGAGCCAATCTACAAGCAAGATAGGAGCGCGTGCGTGAGCGAGTGCGCAGCGAATCATGACATGTCTATGTGTGTGCGTGTGCGATTGTGGTAGTTGTGGTGACAGTGCAAGCACGGGTGTTTGTGTGCTCACCCCACTCAGTCGAAAACCGAGGGCCAGGCGATGTCGAAGAACACTGCGACGTTTGGGTGAGACAAAACAAAACCGCGTGCAAAGCCTTCGTAAGTACGGCAGATCGCAGTGCAAGCTAACGCCCACGATTCCCCCCCCCCCTACACACACACACACACATACAAACTCACACACACACACACGCACACACACATACACACAATCCCAAATCATTGGCTGTACTCGGGCATGGCTTATGCGAGGACTTACTCAACGGGGCTGCAGGTGAACCTGTAGCCGCCCCAGAGCGTTCGCACCAGCGGGACCTGGCTGCTGCCTTCCTCAAACGACCCAAGCAGCGCTGCACGCGATGCCGGCGCTGTCTCGTGTACATGTGCGCATGCGCGTATGCAACGTGTGTGAGTGTGTGTGTGAGTGTGTGTGTGTGTGAGTGTGTGTGTGTGAGTGTGTGTGTGTGAGTGTGTGTGTGAGAGTGAACATTGGTGAAGTATGCGGCAGTGGTGTACTCAGAGAAAGCGCACGGTTTGTATGCTTGTGTACGGATGTGCATGTGTGTGGGCGTGATATCCGTGTGGCATGTAAATCTACAAGACAAAAAAGTTCTGAGCAGCACGCGGTGGAGGTTACATTACATCGCAGGCGCTATGCTCACCCAGGAAGAAGGTTGGGGCATTGAGCCGTCGCCGTGACTGCAGGCTTGGCGGCTGGTCCATGACCCAGCGCACAAGCAGCGATGCCTTCACCAGAGCAACTGTCCAAACATCCAAACGCACACACAAAGGTGAAGCGCAGAGGAGGGTGAGGGTTACGGTTACGGTGAGAAGAGATATGCATGAAACACACGCCAGTATGCACATGCATACAACACACGCACGCACACACACACACACACACACACACACACACACACACACACACACAAGCATAAAACACACGCACACGCACACACACATGCATAAAACACACGCACACGCACACGCACGCGCACACGCATCTCTCGTTCCCCACACCGTTTGTGAGGTCGGACGGGACGAGAACGGTTCCGCCCGTCGCCTCCGCGAGGAAGAAGAGCAGGTCCGAGTTGTACACCGTGAGCAAGCTCCCTGGGTAGCGCGGTCGCGGGCGGGAGCGCTGCACGCTGAAGCCGCCGCCGTGACGACGCCTGGTGACATTGCGCGACGTGTTGTACACGTTTGCCTGCGACTGGCGGTGCTGGTGTAGCCGCAGCAGGCCAGGCGTGGTTGTGGCGGGTGCGACGGGCCCGTCTTGAAGGTAGATGAAGTGACACGTGGCAGCGGTGGTGGCCAGGCGCTGCAGCAGCGTGATGGACCGCGCAGGGTCCGGCAAGCCCACGATGCCGTCTGTCAGGAAGATGACGACCGGGGTGCTGATCTTGGGCAGGAGATTGAGGGCAAACAGCGCGTGTCGGAGAATCTTGTCGAAGGAGACGTCTGCCCGCCGTCGCTTGCGCGGTTTCTTCTTTCCCGTTGCGCTCCGCGCGTCACGCCGTGCAAAGTTGAGGTGCCGCTCAAAGACAGATGCGCCTGATTCGTCGAGGACGAGGTTGTGGAACCGATGCTGCACCATCCCCACCACCTCCGTGACATTGTGCTGGGTGAGGCGGATGCCCTGTGCGAGTGTCTTGATGGGCTGGCTGCCCTGCAGGCTCTGGTGGGCTTGTACGAGGACGGTGAGCCATATGGTGGGCACTGCTGTGTCTGGGAGCATTTCGTCGATGGTGTCGAGCGCATCTTGGTCTGAGCCGCCACCTTCGCCCTTGCGCCTTTCGCGCTGCTTGTGCTGGTGCTGCTGGTCCTGCGGCGGAACTGTGGATGTCGGGGAGCTGTCTGGCTCCTGGATGACGAGGGAACTGATCAACGCAGCAAGCGTGCTGTGGATCTTTGCAAACGCAGATGAGCGCATGTTCCCGACCGTCTCCTCTCTGCTATTGCTGCTCGGCTTGAAGCAGAACATGCTTGGCGAAACATCGATGCTGATGACGATCCTGTACGTCTTGCTTGTCAGTGGAATCCATGGTGAGAGCGAGCTCTCGCCTGCCGTTCTTCCCGACTCCGACTCCTCATTTGTATCCTTCTTCTCCTTCTTATTCTTCTTCTTGGATACCAGCTGCGATTGTACATGTGGTGACACGACATCAGTGAGAGATGGAGGAAACCAACATGCAACCGTGCTCACTCAGTGGCTCACATACACATCGGACATGCACACGCACGCACATGCACACTCGCACACTTGCTCACTGACATGCACTCGCACACTTGCTCACTCCCCCTCTTGTTCACTGACACACACACGCACACATGTGCACACTCGCATACTTGCTCACTGACACACACATGCACACACACACACACACATGCACACCTGGTTGTGTGCGGTGGCGATGGTGCTGATGGTCTTGTCTGCCAGCGCGTTGGCCAGAAGACAGGTTGGGTCATGCAGCACATATGGGCTGACCACCCCTTTGTCCGGCACCTCCAGCCATTGCGTCGATGTCATGCAAGCAGTCCTTGCACACCAACCACAACAAGGAACGACAACAAGGAAGGAGGAAGGCGGGGAACAGCAGTCACTTGCTGGCTGGCTGGCTGGTGTGCTTGTTTGTTTGTGTGCGTGCGCGCGGTCGGTTATGGTCCGCCTTTTTTTCTGGCTGGTGTGGTGGGTGTTTTTTTTTTTTTTTTTTCCTTTTTTTTTTTTTTTTCTCCTCCTTGAGCGAGGGCCTCGCTTCTGCAGCAAGAAGGCAACTGTCACACCTCCCCTCCCTTCCCTTCCCACCCACAGTCCCGCTACCACGCTTGCTGTCCTTGTCGTTCTCGTTGTGGACCTGTGTACAGCACAGTTCCTCTCTTTGTTCAAACCTGCTTTGTACTACATATGTTGATCGTCACATCACATCACAACATCAAGCAGCTGTCACAAGGTCACACAGCATACCAACTTCACCTCAAGCATGGTGCACGTGTGTGGGCTGCGCTCCACTACAGCTACACACCAAAGGGCAGCGCGCACCACCACCACCACCACCACCACACGCACACACAGCGCAGACACACGATACCACAGACAGCGCTTGAACGCAGTGCTAGTGATTAAGTCACCCTGGCTAGTGTTATCCGCTCTGCTCAAAAGACGGCCGCGTTTCGGGTCGCACGCACACGCTCCAAGGTGTTGTTATGTTACTACGTCTCGTGGATATGTGTATGAGAGAGGTGGCAACTGTCTAGTAAGGAGGGGGAAGGAAACAGCGGGTCGAGGGAGAGGGCGAAAGGGACGCGACGGGAGGGGGGAACGGTAGCCGAAGCAAACAACAAAGAAACACATTGACAAGACACAACAACAACGAAGAGGCATGCTTGCTTTGGTTGGATGGGCGAGGCCTGCCGTGCAAGTGTGTGCAGTGGCTCGATTGACCAAAACAAGCAGCCAACTCGACGGAATAGAGAAAGGGAGACATTACACGTTGAATGGTTCACGCAACGAGAAGCAAAAACAGCTCTGACCAGCAACGGGCTTTACGAAACACTGAAACAGAGCACACAACCTTATCAGTGGTGGTAGCAGCAGCAGCAGCAGCAAACACCTCTGCTTGGGTGGTTGCTGCACTGGATCGGATGGTTGATTGCATGTGTGTGTGTGCATGTGTGCTGTATCTTGGGGATACTTGACAAAAGAGGGGCTGCGAAGTGGAGGTGGGAGTGCTTGTTGGGAGTGCTTATTGGCTTGCACACTGGACGCCTGGGCCGGCGTGGTGGCCCTCGTCGTCATCCTCGTCGTACGCTTGCCTCTCGCCAGGGCCAGCCTCGCCTGCACAACACAACACAGCACAGCACAGCACAGCGCACGCAGCAGGCCATTGCGTGAGTAAGCAAGCGGAACAAGAGAAGCGGCACAAGAAAAGAGTGAGACGAGAAAGAGGAAGAGGAGCAAGCAACAAGAGCAGCAAGAGCGGCCATACCGATTCTGCGGTTTGGGTCGGGCTCCTGGAGGACGACCTCCTCTGCGTCGGAAGGAATGTCCACCTTCTCGCGCGGCGGCAGCAGCGCCTCGAGCTTCTTCAGGTGCTCCGGCGTGCGCAGCTCCTCAGGCATGGTGAAGTCAACGTCAAAGCTGTAACAGTCGGCGGGGGTGGCGGTGACAAGGGTGGAGAGGGAACGGTAAGTGAAGCACTGTATCAAAACACACACACACACACACACAACACACAGTTGCACACAACACAGTTGCACACACACACACACACACACACACACACACACACACACACAAAGATATACACACAACACAGTTGCGCACAACTTACACGACAAAGAGGTCGCCCTTGTCGAAGATGCGGCGGTGCTCGGGGAAGCCCTCCTCCTTGATGACCTTGACGCTGTCTGGGGCAATCACCTCGCCCGGCGGGCACTTGACGTGCAGCATGCGGCCGTCAAGATGCTTGAGCGTGAGGTCCAGCCCGCACAGAGCCTCCGTCAGGCCAATCTTCTTCTTCATGATGAGGTCACGGCCACGACGCTCAAAGACAGGGTGATCCTTTGCGCGGAGGACAAGCACGACGTCACCGGGCTCAATGCCAGGCTCCTGGTCGCCCTCCCCGCGGAAGGTGATCTTCTGGCCATCGCGCATGCCCTTGTCAATGTGCACCTCCAGGATCTTGCGGTCCTGCATGACCTTCTTGCCAGAGCACGTCTTGCACAGGTCCTTGGGATCCCACATCTCACCTGCACACAGAGAGGGATGGAGAACCAAGCACAACGGGAAGGAGCGCAAGGTGAACGGCGGGAAGAGAGAGAGAGAGAGAGAGAGAGAGAGAGAGAGAGAGAGAGAGAGAGAGAGAGAGAGAGTGTGTGTGTGTGTGTGTGTGTGTGTGTGTGTGTGTCAGGCGCAACGGCAAGGATGCACACAACAACAACACCACACAGCACGGACATCCCTTTCCTCACCCACCCATCCTCCCTCTCAAAACATATGCTCACAAATATTCCCCTCCCAAACCACGCACCTGTGCCGTTGCATTTGTCGCACGCGCGGCGGACCTGCTGCACCATGCCGATACCAAGCTGCCGCAGCTCAACGCGGATGCCGTGGCCGTCGCACGACGTGCACGTCTTGCCCTTGCCGTGCTTGCCGCCCTCGCTGTTGTGCAAGAGATGATGCATACATTTCAGCCCGCAGGTGTGAGCCATAACACAACGACACATGGTGTGTGCGCGCAAGCGGTGAGAAGGAGGAGGAGGAACAACCGCAAGCGGAGCAAAAGGGAGAAAGGGACAACAGGGAGGCGCAGCACCCAGTCGTGCTGCGAGGGAGGTGCCGTGACATACCCGTTGCAGTCGGAGCAGAGCACACGCTTGCGCAGCGCAATCTTGCGGGTGGTGCCATTGTACATGTCCTCGAGGCTCACACTGTGACGGGTAGTGGCATTGAGGCAGGAAGGAACCGAGAAAGGAAGGAACGAAGGAAGAAGGAAGGAGGCGGAAGGAGGGAGGAAGGAAGAACATACACGCGGGGGGGGGGGTGTGAGTGAGCGCGAGCGTGTGCACGAGTGGCAAGCGTTCCCAAATTGCCGCGAAAAGGTCGTTGGCGTACTCGTGCGAGCGCACCGATACGCGCATCCACTGATGCATGCACAAGCTCGTTCCAAGGGGGCAAAAGCAAGCATCACAAACACAAGCTCAATGCAGGCTCAACACGCGACGCACGGGAATGGTTGGACGGTGTCCTCGCCCTTCTTTGGGCCCGTGTCGCGGCGCATGCCAAAGAGGTGCTCAAAGAGGCCACCAGGCCCCTCAGCTGCACGGCAAGACAGCAAGGAGAAGAACAAGGGCAATGGCGAGGCAGGCCGGGGAGGGGGAAGTTGCGTGTAAGCATGGGTAGGTCCATGGCCATCAAGCACACACACACATGTTGAGGAGCGAACGTAGCCACACACACACGCACGCACACAGACACAGACACAGACACAACCCGACAGACAGACAGACACCCACATGCACACAGACACACAGACACACAGACACACCCATAGGCACAGACAGACAGGGGCAGATAAACGTACATCGGCCCTCCTTCAGGCCGTCGAGACCATGGCGGTCGTATGTCTTGCGCTTCTCAGCATCGGACAAGACCTCATACGCCTGTGTGATCTCCTTGAACTGTACACGCCGCACGACAAAAAACACAAGCAAACGAGCCACGATTACAAAACAGAGGTATGAGAAGGGGACGAAACGGCTTGGGCGATCGCCAGGACTTTTGGACACACCATAACAACGATCATAGCACCCAGCACAATAGGTCCTTGTACCCCCATTCTCCATACTCGCGAAAGCCAAAATGAAAATAACAAGCACCCGCTTTCACTCAGTGCACACACACACACACACACACGCGCATGCATACACGCATGCATACACGCGCGCACATCCTCACACATGCAGGAAGAAAAGCGCACCTTCTCGCCAGCATCAGGGTTCCTGTCAGGATGGTACTTCATGGCCTTCTTCCTGTAGGCCTTCTTCAGCTCTGCGTCCGACGCATCCGTCGAGACGCCGAGGAGGTCGTAGAGTTCAGTGTGCGGCATGGCGGTATTCTGGTGATGAAAGCAAGTCGTGCACGGTCCTGGGCTTTGGGTTGTCGATTGATCAAAGCGGGGTGGTTGACGTGCTGCCACCCGCCAAAACGAGCAAACGCAAACCCCCACGTGTTGTGTGGTACATATGTGTGTGTGAGGTCATGTAATGATGATGATGATGATGATGATGATGATGAGTGCGTGGGTGAGACACACAAGAAGCATCGACCCACACAACACATATAGAGCAAGCAAAGCACAAAGCACAGGACGCGCTCGACAACACAACACACCCCCCGACCGAGCAAGCCGCAAGCGGCAAGCGCAAGGCAGGTAGGAACGTGGGCGGAGCAGGTTGTCCACACGACACAACAACTCACTCACATGTGGTTCGCAAATGGTGGAGCGGAAAAAATAAAAAAAATTATCGACTGCATGCACGCGACAGCATGGAAGGCCGGCTTGCAATTGAAGGCGACACGCGACACACAAAGATACAATTGCCGTTACACGAAACACAACAAGGACAACAAACAACGATGACAAGCTTTGGGTGGGTTGTTGTTGGTGCTGGTGGTGCTGGTGGATCGTTGTCGTTGGTGGTGGTTGCTGTCGCCTGGCTCGTGTGCTTGCTCACACCACCCACACCATCCACCCAACTCACTTTGCTCACTCACTGACATTGGTGGGGAAATCTGATCCACGACGAAAACAATGCTTGTCAGAGATTCGCTGAGCCGGCTGGTGAGCCGCAAGAGCCAGCTCGTGGACCACCACTTCTTGTCGTTGGCTGCGCTCATGGATGACATCACCCGCACAGAGGCAAAGCTCGCAGACAGGTGCCGTGCATGTATTCCTGTGCTAGCCTGCCTGGTGCTCATGCTGGTCGTGATTATGATGGTGGTGGTGGTGATGATACTGCTGCTATCGTTGCGTGCACTGTGTGTGTGTGCGTGTGTGTGTGTGTGTGTGCGTGTGTGTGCTTGCGTTTTCGTGTGCAGGTGTCACTCGCTCGTGGTGCATTCCATCACCCACACGCACGCACGCACACAAACGCACGCACAAATGTGTGCATTTGGGAGTACTTTTCTTCACATCATACCACACCCACGCACTCGTTTGTGTCGTTACTGCTGTAGGTACACGGCATTTGCAGAGGCGCTGCAAGCGTACAGCGAGGAGGAAAGCCCAGGCATACGCAAGTCCCTCTCCAAGTATGGCGCCATGCTGGAAAAGGCACAGGACCAACGCAGAAAACTGGTGCGATAGTGTGGGTGCATTTGCAAGCAACTGTGATTGATGTGTGTGCGCGTCTGTGTGTTGTTGTGTGTGTGTGTGTGTGTGTGTGTGTGTGTGTGTGTGTGTCTGTCTGTCTGTCTGTCTGTCTCTCCCTCCCTCCCTCCCTCCCTCCCTCCCCCCCTCTCTCTTTCCCCCCCTCTCTGTGCGTGTGTACGTGTACTGATGCAGAGGTTGCTGACAGTTCCTTTGTTGTGACTTGACTGTCCCTTTTGTATTGTGTGCTTGCTGCCAGGCAAATCGGTGCAGCTCAAAAGTGGCCGAGGCCCTCCGCGAGTTTGCCACCAAGACGAAAGACATCCGCGTGAGCTCGTTTGCCCCACACTGCGCGAAACAGCCTGTCTTTGCATGCACTGTGAATCATGGCTGCTGCCCACTACCAGATGCACAATCGGGACAACATGCACACATGCACACATGCACGAACATGGGTGCAGTGGTGTATTTTACACATGCACATCTGTAATCACACCAGCGACCACAAGTCACATTCCTTGCTGCGCTCACCCACGTCATGCCACGTGCCTGCATGCACATGCGTGCACAGGATGAGCTGCAGACGAGGGACAAGTTGAAGAACAAGAAGGAGCTGAAGAAGAAGGCACTCGACAAGCTTCGGTCAAAGGAATCCAGCGCAACCAAGGCATTGGTGAGTTGGCCGACCCACATGTCTGTGGTGATGGCTGGCTGTTGAGCCCACGCGCTGGTGTCGTGGGACGTGTACACACTGTTGCGAGTGCACAACACGACCACGGTTGGGGTTACTTGCGCTCACGTGGTTCCAAACTGCCTTGCATGGATTTTTGGATGTGTTTGCTCTCTCTCTCTTTCTCATAGAATGACGCAAAGCTGGACCACGCCTCTGCAAAAGCAGCGGTAAGCCAAATGAACAGATATTGGAACGTGGTGCAGGAGTAGCATAATAAATGTACCTTGCTGCGACTCATGCGTCAACTAGCACCTTCACACACACACACACACTCACGCACAACGAATGCGGTGCAATGGACGGCTTGCACTGCCCTTCTTGCTTGTTGCACATATACAGGTGTTGGAGAGCGACAAAGGGCTTGCGCGCAGCATTGTCGAGTTTGAGGGCAGAAAGCTCGACTGCTTGCGGGTATGAGTTTATGCACACATATGCACACAGAGGTAGAGGGAGAGGCAGAGGCAGAGAAGAGATTGCATGCGTGTCATCATCACCACTGCACGGCTGCACGCGCCTTGCCCATCTCACCACCACCACTGCTCCATGTCAATGATGTTAATGCTGGTGTAGGATCTGATGCATGATTTTCTTGAGGCGCAATTGATTCTGTGCTGTCGCACACTGGAACGCCTCTCCTCTGGCCAGCGCTACATCGACTACATCAACCCAGACGAAGACCTCAAGGTCGCGTGTGGGTGTGTGTGCTTGCTTTTGTGCATGTGTGGAAAAGAGGACCAATGGTGGTGTATCCACGTGAATTTGTCAATCACACTTGTCACTGTCGTTTCATTGTCTTGCGTGCGTTTGCACGAGCAGGAGGTGACCACCATGGAGAAATCAATCAACGACACTGGGAGGCGTAAGGTGAGCATTGCGCGGGCGTGCACCTGATGATGCTGTCATCCACACGGCATTTGTCCAACCCCACTCATCCTCTGTGCCCCTTTGCGCGTGCGCGTGTGCGCTTGCATATGTACGTGCGGTGGGAACCCGTTTAAAATCATTTCCAGAACAAGGACGGGCGCAGAGGAAAGCGTGGCGGGCGGCGCACACGCGGCAGCAGCGGTGACGACAACGACCACAGCCACGACGACGCAAGCGATGTCAGCGATGGTGGTAAAGACAGACGACGGCGTGGACATAAGGGCAGGCACCGTGGTGGCGGTGGTGGCGACTCGCATTACGATTCACGCGACGACGACGACGATGAGGATGAGGATGAGGAGGACGTGGACAACGCGAGCACGATTGGGCGGCGCAGTCCTCCGAAGAAAGGACGCAACAAAGGGAGGAACAACAGCGAGTCGAGCGACGTGTCTGAGCTGTCGATGGAAGAGGATGGCCGGTCCTCCCCGCGCATCCGGCGCAGGCGCACTATCAAGGGGTTCACATAGGACACACACGCGCGCGTGTGTGTCTGGCAGTGTGTTGTTGTGATTGTACTGATTGATGTGTGAGTGCCATTGGACGAGGGAGAGAGAGAGAGAGAGAGAGAGAGAGTGTGTGTGTGTGTGTGTGCGTGCTTGAGCCAATCTGCTTCGTGTATCGAGTTACATCACATGAGGTATGGCTGTTGACCCAGTTTCAGCTTCCTTTGCTGCCTCTTGTCTTTGAAATGAACAAGCAAAACAATGGCACCCGCAGGAACAGTCATCAACGTAAAGTGTCAGCAGCAAGGCAGGCAGTAACAAGCAACGCCTCTGTGCTCATAACGACACACACACACACATGCCAGCGAGGTGTTATGCCAACACAAAGAAAGAGTCCATTCAAGTCAGCAGTCAACCAAGACGGGCAGCAGTCATCACAGGGTTGGGTGGGGGAGGGGGGAGGACGACAACAAGGCCACAGCACAACACAACAGCACCGACAAGCAAGCGACGTGGGCGTGGGGAACAAGGCGATATGAACGAGTAACAACGGCACCCAAAAAGGTCGCATTCAGGCAACAACGTCAGCATGGTGGAACAACTGACTGAAACAAGCAGTCAGCAACACCTCGTGTCCGCGTTTCAAACACCGCAGGCAAACAAATGCACACAGATACCTACACAGATACAGAGGCAGACACAAGACACACGCATACACACACACGCACACAAGACACACACACACACACGCACGCACGAGACGAAACGGCTACACGATTGAGAAGGTGAGCGGCGCCTCTTCGCCATCGCTGTCACTGCTTGTGCGGCGCTGGCGAGCAAGTGAGCCCATCTGCAAGCCGCCACCGTCGGCACTGCTCTCAGAGGACGCAGAGCTGCGGGGTGTGCGTTGCGTGTCTGCCGTTGGTGGTCCTTGGCTGCGCAGGCGCTGGCGCACAGCAGCAGCCGCATCACGCGCGGACGTGTGCGATTGCGCTTGTGATTGCGAGCCGAGCGTGGAGGAGGAGGGCGTGGCAGCGTCAACCATGATGCGCGGGTTGTCTGCAAAGGCAGGCTGCACCTCGCCATGTGCCCTGGTGAAGTCGATTTCGCTGACAGAACCGCGCGCGCTGATGAGGCCGTCATCGCTCTCTGCAAGCGACTCGAGGCGATCGCGCACAGATGCAGCCGGTGACTCATGCACGTCTGGCGTCTCCTCCTCTTGTTGGGCCTTGATGTCCAGCACATCGGGCGTCTGGTATTGGAGGAAAGAGGAAGGGCGAGGGAGAAGAGAAAGAGAGGGGGGTGGTTTCATGTTGTGGATGAGTTAGGCAGTACAGGCAGCAGGGACTCAGGGGCTACAACACAGAAGGAGAGAGCGTCGCATGGCAGAAAAGTCTTTAGAACGCGAACACAGACACAGACACAGACAGACATACATGGACACACAGAGACACAGAGGCACACAGAGACACAGATACACAGACAAAGACACAAGCAAGTCTCAGCGTCTTACCCGCAGGGCAGTTGGGCCCATGGCGAAGATCAGACCGGGTTCGAGGCACAAATACTCGCCAGCCTGCAGGACCTTGAAGGGAACGTACTCCGTGCGCCCGAGAGACAGCTCGCTGGTGTGTTTACGCGCGTGTGTTGACGTGCGTGACGTGTGTGAACGTGTGTGAGAATTCACAAAGGCATGGGACAAGAAGAGCAACGGCAGAAACACGGTGCAAAATGCAAGCAGGGAAGTTAGTGCATACATGCATACACACACCTTGTGCGACGATCTGGCAGCATCTGCTGATGGTGGAAGTGCTCAGCGGCGAGCATGTTGGAGTAGGTGTCGGACATAGACGCGAGTTGCTCACACCCCTCTGTGTATTTGAAAGGGCATATATGCAGTGCGGCATGTGGAGCAGGGCCGTGAAGCAGCATGAATCCAGGGAAGAAAAATTCAAGGTAGCGAGCGACAGACGATACAAGTACAAACAACCACACACACACACACACACACACACGCAAAACAGCAACATGTTTCGCGCACCAGTCACTTGTGGGATGGCAAGCTTGTCCGAGTCAAAGGTGGAGCCACCTTGGTTCTTGCCAACAAGCATTTGCGGCAGGCCAGTCCCTGAACCAAAGGCAGATACGATGTGTGTGAGAATCCTGAAGCAAAACGAGAACCACACACATACACATACACACACACACACACGAAAGTGGCTCACGTCGTTCCGTCGTGGCGCCGCCACTCAGGCTCACACCGGCGTTGAACTTGGGCCGAGACCTGTCAAGGGATAAGAACAAATGTGAGATTTGATGGATCGTGACAACAATTCGCACACTGCCCAACAAACATCCAAACACACATCCAAACACACACACACACACACACACACACACACACACACACACACGGCACAGGCATGGCGCTGATTGTACGTTGGGGTGCGGTGCGGCTTCGTTGGCTGCTGTTTCTTCTTTGGCTGCGGCAGCGGTTGGGACACCTGGCGATGGAAGACGCTGGATGTGCTGCGGTGGAACGTCGGGCTGCCATCCTCAGACTCCTTGATGCGCCGGTACTTGCCAGAGACGACCAGCCCGGCCACGCCCAACGCAACACGCTCGTGTTTCTTCATCTCCTCCATGCTGCCCGCGTGTGCAAACGGCCACAGGTCCTCCTGCACGCTGAACGGCGCGTCGGCGATGTTGCGCGCGTGGGGCAGAACGCGTCCGGCTGCGCGGAAAAGATGCGGGCGCTGCAGATAACACAGCTGGAACGCACACAGGCGGTACGCGTTGCGCTTGAACTGCAAAGGGCGAGACAGGGTTGCGTGGGGGTGAGGAAAGAATCAAGCAGGTTGTGGTGTAAGTCGTGTTGCGTGAGCACTTGCTCATTTGAACGAAGAAGCCAAAACAGGCAAGTAGCACAACACCGCCAAGACAAGGCATGGCAGCTTACGAGAGGCACGGACTCGAAGAGCTCATGGACGGCCTTGACGGGGAAAAAGGCGGCCTGCAGCTTGTGGCTCATTGTGCGAATGGTCACCAGCCCTGCGTAAAGGTCGAGGTTGTGTGTGTGTGTGTGTGTACGTGCGGAAGTCAGGCGACACATCAAGCAGACAGTACGTGCACAAGTGAAAGCACAAGCCAGCCAAGCAATGTGCCAAATGGCCAAGTGGCATTCATAGCCGGCGCGTGTAATTCAACTAATTCTCCTCAGCAGCAACAACAGCAGCAGCAGCAGCAGCAGCAGCAGCAGCACCACCACCACCACAACAACAACAACAACAACAACAACAACAACAACAACAACAACAACAACAACAACAACAACACACACACACCTGTGTGCTGTGCGACGGTTTCGATGACGCCCAAGGTGCGCCCCGCCATGAGCACGTCTGTGTGTGACTTCTGCTTTTGTTGTTGCTGTTGCTGCGGCTGGCCGTTTGGCGTGTTGAGGTGGGTGTTGGCAACATGCGACTCTCGCTGCACGGAATTACGACGGGGGCGGTTCTCAAAGCACGCGTACCCGCGCAAAATGACGTAGATGCCCTTGCACTTGCCATTCTTCCTCACCAGCGGCTCGTTGAACTCTGAGGTGACAATCTGCATCTTCCGGAACACCTCCTCCACGTCATCGGAGCTCAGGTCCTCCATCAGGCGGCTCCAGCGGAGGATGCCTTCCTCATCGGGAAAGTGGAACGATGCCGTGTTGAGCACAAGCTTGGCGCGCACCTTGCGGATGTGTCCAATGAGGTGGTCGTGCTCGAGGGCAGTGAAGATGCCGTGTCGGAACTTGGAGCCAATCACCTCCTCCTGGTGGCGCAGCAGCAGCGATGTGGCCTGGCGCGTGCGAACAATGGACACCACCTCGTGTGGGAATTCGCGGGAAACCATGCGGGAGAGCTCCATGTTGGCAAAGCACTCCTCGAGCAGGCGTCGCCGGTTCTCCTCGCTGTGCGTCACCTGTAATAGCAACGGCATTGATGGATGGACAGTGGACAAAAAACAAAAAAACAAAAACGTGGCATCAGCGTGTGTAAGGTAACATGGTCATCGGACGGTGTTTGCGGTTGCGGTGGCGGTTGCGTGTGTGGATGGTGAGCACAACGCATGAAAAGATGCTTGCAAGTGTACAAGCAGGCTCGCACAAGTGTGCGTGTCCTTTCAACAGCATCAAGCAGCAGGCAGCCAGGCCATTGGCATCACAAAGGCGTGCGGTGCAAGTGAGGATGTGCAGCAGCCACAGGCAAAGCTCTCACCTCTGACAGCAGGCCGCTGAGGTCGCCCAAGACCTTGCGATGCGCTGCCGTGAAGGCGTCAGCAACGTTGACACACGCGGCCGCGTGGTGGATCTCGTACCAGCGAAGCAGACGGCGACGCAGGTAGTCAAGCACCCACCACCGCTGCCGGCGCAGAACACGCACGGGCCAGGGCGTGTGCACAAACCGCTGCAGGTCGGCGTTCCAGTCGTTGAGTTTGCGCGTGGAATCGTGCTCGACTGCATGCTCCTCCGTCTCAGAGGCGTTGACAAGCAGCAGGACGCTGTCGCGGTCGAGAAAGCCGGAGTCAAACAGCTCCCAGTAGATGGCGCGGGTGCTGACGAGGAAGCGGAGGCGCGCGTTCTGCATGTCTGCGCTGTGGGAGGTGGAGGGCCGACGGCGGCGGGCGTGGCTGTGGTGGTGGCTCAGGCGCCGCTCACCGCTGCCCGTGCTGCGGCGTGGGTGCAGCTCTTCTGTTCCATGGCCGTTGGTGGAGGCCTCCTCGCCCAGTACGCAAAACTCGTGTGACACGGGGCGCTGCTCATGCCTGAGGCCCAGGCGACCGAGGCGGGTCAGCAGACTGCGGGACTTGTTGTTGCCTTCGCGACACTGCGAGGTGCTTGCATCCATGGGCTCGTGCTCGTCAAGGGTCTCCATGCTGCCGCCACCACCGCCATTGGGCGAGCGCGGGGAGACGTTCCCGCTGCGGCGGTTGACGTTGTCTCGGCTGGCGCCGTGACTTTGGCGGTGGCGGAGACGGCGCAGGTGCGACGAGGCGTAGCCAAACAGCTGCATCATGCGCCGGTTTGTTCGCTCGTGGTGCTTGCGGGCAATCTCGTCCTCTTCCTCGTCCAAGTGCTCGCGTGACTGCGCGGCGCTGATGCTTGGCGACGGCGGCGCCAGCGTTTGCGACGTCCGCATGTCCTTACCCGCGCCCTGCTGCTGCTGCTGCTGCTGCTGCTGTTGGGCAGGTGGAGGCGAGAGCACGGATCTGCTCACGTCGCCCTCGGGCAGCGACTGCGTGCCGGTGGCGGGGTCGACCATCATCTCAAAATCGTCCTCCTTCACGTCACCAACGGCGCTTGGCTGGCCAACCACAACAAACGACAGCAAAAACGGCACAACAACAATGACGCGCGCGTGTGTGAGCGGAAGGGAGCAGGCGTTTGGCACAATTGCGGGCGCGACTGAGCGCAAGCAACATGACAGCACAACAAGGAAGGAAAAACAGATACTGCAGGCCATCCCACCCACCCACATCCACCCAGACACCCACGCACGCACGCACGCACACGCACACATACACACCGGAGCTTGGATCCTGGATGGACGGCCATGCTGCAAAGGAGGAAGTGGAGGAGGAGAAGTAGGGGTTAGGTTGTGCCCCGGGGGGGGGGCTTCACGAGCAGCCAACACAGCATCGTGCATGCATATGTTCATCAGAGACATGCTACCTCCACCAAGACAGGCACCTGTGCAGTTGTAGAGCACGAGTTGCATCCCACACGCGCCTCGCACAGGCACCGACACACGAACGCACACACGCACAAGATTGCACATACACGAGCGCGCAGACATATGCACACACAGCACACACAAACGCACACATGTGTATGCACACCTTGTCTGCCTTGAAAACGACTTTGCCCAGAGAAGTTGGCGGGGCGACAAACTCGGTGGCCTCGTCCCAGTTCGCCATGGAGAAGAGCTTGTCCTTGCTCATCACCTTTGCGCGCTGCAGGGTGAGGCGGGAGATGGTCTGGCGCGCGTCTTCATACACAGCGCGCTGGGCAGCGGCCTCCTTGACCAGGCCTGGTTCGCGTGTGCACATACAAAGACGATGGGATGTCAGGTGGCAAGGCGCGAGGAGAGTGAAACCCGAGAGTTGGAGTTGTACATGAATGGAAGATATACATGAGTGGAGTTGTGCATGAATGGAAGTCAAGGTGTGCGAGTAGTTACACGCTGGCACACACACCTTTAAACACACACACACACACACACAACTCAAACACGCAAACAAACGCACACACGACTCAAACACGCAAGCAAACACACACACACCCACGACTCAAACACGCAAGCAAGCAAACACACCCACACCCACACTCACACGCAAACACACCCACACCACAACATCAAGCGATCGCGTACCGAGGCCTCGGAGAATGGGGCCAGTGGTAGATGCGTTGATGATGAGGGTGAGAAAAGCGATGCCACCTGCGTAGAACAGCGTCTTATCACGCGTGACTTGCGGCAGGCCTTCGTCTGGGTTTTCGGGCTCCTCAAGCGTGACGATGAGGGCCAGGGCAAGGGCCACAGCACCGCGCAGGCCGCCGTGCACAATGATGACTGAGTCCTTCAAGGTGAGTGGATAGCCTGTCCACTGCAGCGGCAGCGCGAACACAAGCACCATGAGGGCGCGGATGATGTAGAGGAAGATCCAAAGGACGATGACAAAGCCCCAATCACGGCCCTCGATGCGAGAGAAGTCGTTTGTCAGCACAAGCACAATGCCAACAAACAGGAAGATGAGTGTGTTGCCTGGTGAAGAGAGAAGAATGGAGACGAGGGGAGGGCAGGGCGTGCGAATGTTAGCTTGTTGACAGGGGTGCAAAATCCGCTCAAGATCAGGCAGCGTGCCATTGAATGGGTGCACACACACACGGTCGCAAAACATGCAGTGCACACACACACACACACACACTCAAAAAAAAACAACAACAATCAAAAAAAAAAAAAACCACCAAGGTGCACGCTTGCAGATTTTGTTATACGTGACACGCCATGCATGCAAGCAACACGTGGCAGCAGAGGGCCTGCTTACCCTGGAAGGTGAGGATGCGCCAGAAGGTGTGTGTACTCTGCTCGGAGCGCGGGGAGATGCGTGTGCGGCCATATGCCGCGAAGCAGGCGCCCATGGTGACGAGGGCGAGCACACCAGAGACCTCACACACGTCCTCTGCCACGAAGAAGAGGAGGTATGCCGACATGACGGTGGTGGTGACCTCAGCAAGATCGTCGTCAATGATTCTGCCAATGAAGAAGATGGTGACCACGCCCCAGAGGAGGCCGAGGGCTGGGCCGCCAATGGACAGCTGAAACGCCATCTCCACGCCCTCGGCGCCGGTGAGGTGCACCCCAGATGCAAGCTCGCTGAAGATGGCAAAGGCAACAATGGCCGTGCCGTCGTTGAGGAGTGACTCGCTCTCAATGAGCGTGGCGAGGGTGTGGGGCCCGCCAAGCTCCTTGAGCAAGGCGACGACAGCGACGGGGTCGGTTGCAGAGAGGAGGGTGCCGAGAAGAAAGCTCGAGTTCCAGTCAAACTCCGGGATGACGACATAGTGGACGATGGTGCCTGTGAGGAAGATGCTGAAGAGGAGCCCGGGCACCGCCAGGATGAGGGCGGGGATGACAACACCTTTGAAGGCGTGCCACTCCAGGGAGAAGGCGCTCTCGAAGATGAGCATGGGGAGGAAGATGATGAGAAGCAGCTCCGGGTCCAGCGTGCTGATGAGGCACGCAGAGTCGCCCAGCAAGCCGAGGCCAACCGTGGTCAGGCCCGCCCACGCCAGCCCAAGCAACAGCAGGCTGACGTGTGGTGTTGGGTCATGTTGTGTGGTGTTGTGGTGTGGCATTGTGTTGTGTGTTGTGAGGCAATCAACAGGCGGGCGGGGGGAACTGAGAACACTGAGGCGTTCAGGCGCATGTACATGCAAAGACAGGGAGGCACCGTTATCTACACGCCCACAAAAACACAGGCAGACAGACACAGGTAAACAGACAGACACAGGCAAACAGACAGACAGACAGACAGACACACACACACACACACACACACACACACACGCACCAGACGGTGTATGGGACGGGAATGCGAAAGGCCTCGATGAACTTCTTCATCAAGACGCCGAGGGTGAGACCAAAGAAGATGAAGAGGATGGTGTCCTGGGCCTGCTGGTGACCCGTGCAGAAATCGGTCCCAGAGGCCGACCCATCTCCACCCTCATGAGGGGATGCGGTGGTGGAGGAGGTGTGCTCCATGCTGCTTGCGCGCACGCGTGTGCCTTGGGTAACCTTCATGGGGTCAAGGGTATGTGTGTGAGTGTGTGTGAATGTGTGTGAATGTGTGTGCGTGTGTGAATGTGCATGTGAATGAATGCGTGTGCGTGCGTGTGTAAATGAGGGGGGTGAGCACAAACAAGCTGCTTCTTGCTCGTTAGTGGGAGCTTGCAGAACACAGCGGTGTGCTGATGGGCGACTCAATCGCGTGCAGCAACTGTGTACGTTTTCCCACAACAATCTTGCTTCTTGCTTGGTGGGTTGTCAGGAGGACACAGACCCTCGCATGCATGCATGGCACGTTGTGCTCGGCAAGGAGCAACAGCAAGTCTCAAACACGGCCTGGAGCGAAAAAGGGAGAGAAGGAGGAGAGAGACTCACGTGTGTTGGTCAGGTGGCGATCGCTGATTTGGGGCTTGAGTGGCTGGGTTGGTTGACTGCGTTGGTTGATGGGTGCGTGTTGAGGCCAAGGAGGCGAGGGGCTCCGCCGTCACGACGATGACGACGACGACGACGACGACAACGCAGACCGACGAATGATGGCTCCGAAACACCCACTGCAACCAAACCCTGGTTTGTGTTGTCGAGGTGTGTTGGTTTACGTTACACGTTAGTTTTAGTGGTGATCTGTGTGAGTGTGTGTGTGTGAGAGTGTGTGAGTGTGTGTGTTCCTGGCAAAACATGCGTCCCACTCAACAAACAAGCCAGCAAGCAAGCGATCAATGTTTTGTTGGATGTTGCAGAGCCGTCATGTCACACTGGTCACCTCCTCCTCACACATCCAGTCATGTCATGTCACATCACGCGCACACACCTCTGTGGCTCAAGTGAAGTGGTCGCAGCAGCTGAGAGGAAAAAAGCAAGCACAAGCAGCCTTTGGCAGGAAGGCAGGCGGCTTGCAGGCGGCTTTGTGTGCTCTGTGAGGAAAGCACACGCGCAAAACACCACCACAACAACACTGCTGCGTGTGGCGACTCCTGATGCTCGTCGTCGTCCTTCTTTTCCCCCACAAACAAAGCAAGCAAGCAAGCAAGCAGCGAAAAAGGAGAGGAGTGCAGCAGAGCAGAAAGCGGCTGCCGTTGCTCAACAAAACCTGAAAGCACAACGAATCAAAGCAGAAGAACCCACACAACTGCCTGGATGCTGCTCACCCCACCCATCAGCATTCTCCTCCTCCGGGTCAATCAGTGGTGGCTTCCATTGCGCTCACATCGTCATCATCGGTGCCTCGTTTTTGTCTCCGGACGCGCTGCGTTCTGTAAACTACTCTTTGTGGTGTTCACTACAGCGAATTGCTGCAACCGCCGCGCCTTGCGTTTGCCAGTCGCTTGCTTGCACCATTCTCCCCACAATCACTTCACGCACACATCACACGCGTGCGATCACCACTGCAGGAGGAAGATGACGAGGTTGAGCGTGGCTAGTTGATGGTGGCAGATTGCTTCGTGACCTGCAACTGCTGCTGCTGCTGCTGCTTGTTCACACTGTCGGTGCTTGTGCGCTGTCGCTGCGCTCGCGATTGCCTGCATCAGCGGCACACAGTAACGCACACACACACTCTCCTCACGCATCACCCATCACCCATCACCCATGTCCCATCCCGCGCTCACCACCCATCACCCACAATCTCCCCCCTTGCCCTCTCCCTCCTCCAACACCCATCACACAACACAACCCACGCAATAGCAATTACGGATCCATGGAGCCCGGACCAGCGCAGGCATCCATCAACCAAAGTCACGCGTACAGATTACGCAGCGAGACGGACGACGATGACGACGACCACATGCCGCTGCTCGCCACTGCAGCCCCTACCGCACATGTTCTTCGGCGACCAAGGGCAAACTCCTTTGACAGCCTGCGCGACCGCTTTCGTTGGCGGTCCAAGCAGGGCGGAACGGCATCGTCCTCATCAGCGGCTGCTGCTGCTGCCGCAGCCGCCTCAAAGAAGAAGGGTCTCAAGTACATTCCCCGCGTTGCTGGTGCGCCGCTTCTGCCTTCACGCCGCCGTCTGCTCAAGCGTCCACGCGTCCCATTTGGTGTCGTCGATAACCTCTCCGACCTGGAGGAGGATAACCCACACCCTCGCCGCGTCTCGGCCTATTGCTACGCACAGGTGCGTGCGTACGTGTGCGTGTATGCGTGTATGTGTGTCTGTGCGTGCGTGTGCATGTGTGTGTGTGTGTTCTTGTGTGTGTTGCCCCTTGACACGAATGTGTATGGGCGTTTCCTCGCACACGCGCGCATGGGCGAGTGCTTGTTCTTACCAACTGTGGTTGTTGGTGTTGATGCACCCAAGTCTTTGCTTATGCGGCTCGTGCACGTTTCTTGTCTCATGTTCCACCCAGGCTGTGGAGTGGAGCACCATCGAATCGGACATCACCCGCGTCGCCAAGTCACACGAAATGCTCAATGACGACACCATCAACATTTTCATGCCCACGTGGCCCGAGGACGGTGCGTGTGTGTGTGCGTGCGTGTGTGTGTGTGTGTGTGTGTGTGTGTGTGTGTGTGTGTGTGTGTGTGTGTGTGTGTGGTGTGG